GTTGCGCTTTTCTGATATCTAGGACTCTACCTCCAGCTAGAGATCCTCAAGTATTCTCTAAATAAAATCATAAAGTGTTCTCTAAATAAAAGTATTCTCTAAATAAAATCACTAGACAAGTTCCATGGGTTGCACTGAATAGTGCAAGTTCAAAAAAACACACCAAGATTTTCAGTGTTAAAGCTGAAGTGCCATTTCGAATTGTAAGATTGTAAGGACTTGACTAGACTGCAAGAAGAATGCAGAAAAATAACCTTGACATTTCATGTTCATAACTTTAAGTAATGATTTTTTACTATATATAATTAAATAATATATAAGATATCAAGAATATACATATGTATCCAATGCACTGAACTGGCACCGTCAAAATATCTCGTGCCACTTAAGGTACAATTTCATGCAGCGAAGCTTCGCTGGCGATGACCCCCCACTCCGACGATTCATGCATAGCCAGCATAGCTAGCGAAGAAACGCTCATAGTTCAACGTTGGGTGCGTTCAGCAGAACGTTTGTTTTGCAACTGTTGTAAGTTTCCTTCGCGCTAATTGGATCATACTTTTAGATCTAGAAGAATGGTCCTATCTCAGCAGACAATCATAAAACGGTTGCAAAACTGTTGAGTCTGCTGAACGCAGCCATTGTTCATCTATCAGCGAAGCAATGGTGCCACACCACGACGCTGTGAAACATAACCTTAACATAGCCTTCTTCTTGGTCTATTCCACATTTATTCCGCCGGCAAAGGATAATAACTTACAAATGGATAACTTAATGAACGTAGACGAAGTATGTATATATAAATATACATATAAATAGTTATAGTTTTATAGTATTCATAGTATCAAACATTCATATATTAGGTTTCTCTTTATTTCTTTCACTATCTTTTATATATTATATTGAAGATGTTTCATTTTGTAATATTTTATAATATTATATTAACCATACTTATTGTTATTGTATTATTTTAGAATAATTTAAATATTTCGTACACATGCGGCGTATGCGAAACTTTTATTATTGAGGATAATTTGTTGTCTCATACATGCTTCAACGAATACAGTAACGTCTGCATTGATGAAAATTTTTACTGTTATCCTCAGTGTGGTAAAATCTTTACTTACTACTTATTTATTCGAAATTGTCTTACAAATATTTCGCGTCTGTTTATTACCATGGCTTATTATATGGACGCCCTTAATCGAGTTTAATGACATCTGTAGTTAGAAACTGGCCAATCACAGTTGTTCCATTCTTCCGAAGAACAACAATAATTTGCCAATTTCACAATTACGGATATTATTGAACCTGATTAAGGGTGCTGTGTAAAATGTCTCGGTGAATCATTGTTGTATTCAGCTGTAATCATTGTTACTATTATTATTAGAGGATGGAAGTATAGTTCGCAAAAGCCTGATGCCTGATGGTACAGAAGCTGTAGTCACAACTATACCACATACAGTAAAGGGCGCTGTAAATTCACATAAGTCAGTGGACTTAGAAACGAAGAAGATGGAAATAGAAGAACAGTTAATCGATGAAATCTTCAATCAGGTCTTCGACCTGGATTGTGGAACTTCAAACTACCTATAACTGAACGCAGTCCACAAATAAAGAAACAGCTCTGGGAAGAAATATATGAAGCTATGAACGGTAATATTGTTGTTGCTATGTTATAGTATAAGGTTTTTCTATAAATGTTATTTATGTTACAAAAAAATACTGATTTATCAAATTATGTATTTCCATCTTTTTTTTAGGATCATTCCCTTCCATCGAGACGATAAAAAGGAAGTGGAAATCATTATCAGATTCTTTTCGGGTGCATTCAAAAAAGAATCAGCAAGCGAGTGGAAAAAAACCATGGATACATCTCCAACGTATGCAGTTTTTGAATGATGTTCGGCTAGAAAGCAGGTATGCATCTATAATAATAATGATAGTAATATTGTAATTTTTTTTATATGAATGTATGTACTAATTAATTTTCTTTTCATGACAGAACTGTCAGTAATATCGAGAGCATGTCAGAATTTGATGATTCACAATCGAATGTTTTTCACGATGACAGCAACAGCTGTAACAGTAGCAGCAACAGTCGTAATACATCAAGTATGTTTATTTTAATAAGATTAATTTGAAGAATATATTTGTATGTCAAAACAAACCATTTTATATTTTACAGGATATGAATATTTTTTACAGAAAGCAGTAAACGTCGCATGTCTGAAGATAATCCCCTGGATCGAATTGCCAATTCTTTAGAGGCTCCAATATCCTTTAATATTGAGCAAATAGACCAAATTTTGTCTAATCGTATTTCAAATAATATTCCACCAATTATGTTTGATAAACCTGCGTCAATGGGACATTTGGTAACTCTCCTACTTCGTGATATGAACCCGGAATTACTGGACGATGTAATGTTCGATATTTTTAAAGTAATAAATGAGGCAAAAAAAAAGAAATAAGTTAAAAGATAAGTGTAGTTAAGATAAGTGCAGTTATTATATAAGATAAGTATAAGATATGTGAGAATAATATAATAATGATAAAATGTATATAATGATATAATATGTGATAATAATATTATAAGATAATTCTAAGATAAGTATAATATAATTATTATATATAATACATTATTTTATTAATAAAAAATTATAACTATATCGAAATATTCTAATTTAAACGAAATATTTTATTACAACTTTTAACTTCCACGATTGTACTGCCATGGCACTGCTCCTTCATTATTAAAATAGCAACAAAATTCATTGCGAATATTGACACATTCTCGGGCACTCATATTACTGCTACAGTTTCCAGAATCTTTGAAAGCACAGCCATCTTCCATAATATTTCTCCAAGATCCTGCATTGAATCCACTTGGAGTGCTTGGATTATCAAAGTCAACAATACCGATAGGTACGTATTCGTTAACATTAATGTCATTTATCCGAAGCCAATTATGCAAGCATACGGTTGCCTTTACTATTTCCACAGCAGTTTCAGGATTAGCGATAATTGGTTTTCTGAATACTCGCCACTGGCTGACGAGTATACCAAAGGTATTTTCGATTAACCTTCGTACTCGGCTTAAACGATAATTAAAGACAGCTTGTTCCATTGTCAGACCTCTGCCTGGGTATGGACGAAGCAAATATGGCTTCAAAGGAAAAGCTTCGTCTCCCACAAGACAATATGGTAGAACAAAACTATCTGAAATAGCAGCCGGCTGCGGAACATTCATGTCACCTTTGTCAAAGACTTTTCCTATGGTGCTGTCTTTAAATATACCTCCATCGCTGCGTCGTCCGTATGCTCCGATATCTACGAAACGGACGATGTAATTCGAATCACAGATGGCCATCAAAACTATACTATGCGTATGCTTATAATTGAAGTACGTTGATCCAGCGTTATTGGGACACTAAAACAGAAAATTGTCACTTCAAATTAAATATAATTTCATTTATCTTATACAGGCCATCGTCTTCTTCCCTGGATACTGTTCTCTTTTAAGGCGTCTGGAGACATTCGAAAGATTTTCTAAAGGTATCCCAAATAATTATCATTAATAATTATCTCGGATATTTTTAGAAAAAATTTTCTTGGATGTCCCCGGATGCATAAAAAAAAATAAGGTGTCCAGAGTAAAAGACGATGGATAATAGCCTTAATTTTATAGAGAATAGGCTACTATATGTACATTTAGCATAATACCTCAATGTACATACTTGGATGATAACGTGCTTGCCATCGATGGCTCCAATGCAGTGTGGAAAATTCCATTTTTCAAAATCGTTGGCTATATCTATCCAGTCTTTTTCTTCTATTTGGCCAGATAGAACTGAAGGCTACAAACTGTCCCAAATTAGTGTACATGTTTCTTGAATGATATTGCTAACTGTTGTAACTCCCACAAGGTACTGATACGACATCGAAATCATGGAATCACTGGATGCTAAGTACCTACAATATTTCAAAAATAATACTTTGATACAAAATACTGATTTGTGTGGTGATAAATGTATGAAAATGTCATTTTAAAAAATCATGGTTTTTACCATATGGTTTTTTTATATTTATTTTTTAATACGAAGCATTACATTCATAACATATATGAATCAATTCAAATGAAACAAACCTCAATGTCAGTGCTAAGCGTTCGGATGGGGAGATGATTTCCCGAATAACATTTTGCTTCTGCAATTTTGGAGCAAGAATTTGTAATAATTCTTCAAACTGAGTTGTGCTCATTCTAAAATAGTTGCGAAAGCGAAGGTCTTCCAATTTCAATTTTGGAACTGAAGCAAAATAAAAACTGTGTTCTTTTCGACTTTGAAAAATGGGTGCTACCCAATATTTTTTCTTCGCATATTGCCGTTTTTTATTCTGTACAGAATATATCACAGCAGCTGCTGCGGCTATACGTCGTCTTTTTATTTCTTGAGCCGTAGCAATTGTAATTATATATTTAAATTCCTGCACGTATTGATCATCCATTTTTATCTTTTTTAATGTGTCGAGGTTTCATACACTAAAAAAAATCTGGTTATAACTACCAAATATTGAGTGAAATACTTTCAACTATATATTTGTTTATAATTAAATTTCTAATAAATATTACTAAATAGTTTACCGTTTGGTAATACTAAATATTTGTAAAGATAAATATATGTTTCGTTATACTTACCGAACAAGTGAAAATATTTTACTTTATATTTAGTAGCTATAACCACACTTTTTAGTCAAGCCTGATTTATAATGGCCGTAACCGTTAACTTATGCCGGTGCCGGTAAAGTTCAACCATAGGATTTTAATGCTTTCGTTCATACTAACTTGCCGTATTAGTATGAACGGTTACGGCCATTATAAATCAGGCTTCAATGTTTTCAACGACTCCTTATTCGACTTCTTATTCGCGGCACAGTAGTGGGGATAGCTTCGCCAGCGAAACTTCGCTCCATGAAAAGGATACGGGGCTTGAGCGAAGAGCGTTTGAACGCTGGCTTCGTTGTCGGCGGAGTGGGGGGTCATCGCCAGCGAAGCTTCGCTGCATGAAATTGTACCTTTAGGCCGGAATCAGACTACGCATTGAAGATTGAGATAGAAGATTGAAGATTAGAATTTGGCCAGTGAGAACAAAGGAATTTTAGCACCTATTGTTTTGATTGGTCAAACTTCAATCTTCAATCTCAATATTCAATGCGTAGTCTGATTCCGGCCTTATAGCGAATTCGACAGACCGCACTAGTGCGCACTGAGTGTGAACTTTTTCAGTGCCACGCATTCGGCTTGTGCGCACTGTATCAGTGCGTTAAGATTATCGTATTCGGCAGATGAAAACTAACCCAATGTAGTACTGAATTTATATTCGAATCAACCGAATGAACTGAACGAGTTCAAAAAATGTTGCACTCTTTCTAAATAGCGTTTTTCATTGGGATGCACTAGGTGCGCACTAAGAAATTCGTCGAATTGAGATGTCACTGTCCGAGTTTATCGACGGTGCAAGTTTTTTGCATGCCCAATGAAACACTCGCGACTCGATGGGTGCGCTTAGTGGCGTGTCATTTTTAAATTTCTCGAATATTGACATTTTCCGTTTGCAGCTTACAGAAATGAATCATTTAAAAGTTACAGAAATGCCTCCAATTCGATTTAAAATAAATAATAGTATTTTGATAGTATCACTTCAAAGTGGCGAAGAAGATCTTCATCATAAATTGTTGAGTAAGAATATATATATATGTGTATTCCGCCAAATTGCATAACCTATAGCCTGTAACTGTGAAGAAAATTTATTATAAGCTGCTTTCCTTATTAAAAAAATCTTCACTACATGAATAATGTGCTACTAAATATACTTATTACTACACATTTTTATTCGCGTGGATTTATATTTTCTTATCGTGTGGTTTTCATACGAGGTTTTTGTTTATAAATAAATATACATAGATACTTCGCACAAATCGGATTCTGCCTGACTTTTAAAAATTTGATTGATTGTCAGACTGAAACTATTGATTATCAGACGTCTTGAATTTTTCTAGACATATAATTCATATTTATGAGCATTATGAAAATCACAACGTTTCTGATAATTCTTAAGCCTTGTGTCCACGATGCTAGAAATTGGTCCGAGATCTCGGAAAGAGAAAGAATTAACCAATCACATTTAAACAATTTAGTCACATGATCAATGCGATTGGTCAATTCTTTCTTCATCCGAGATCTCGGACGGATTTCTAGCATCGTGGACACTGGGCTTTACACCTATAGGTTTTCAAGATACTTGTAGGAAAATGATACAGGTTCGGTTATAACCTACAATGAAAACTTACCTCGTTATCAGAAAAATTATGTATTACATCTAAAAAGTTTTTTATTTTTGGAATATTACGTTTTTCATTTATAAATAAAAAATCGTCATCATCACTACTTGATGACGACGAGAGAAGATCGAGTATTATTTACATATCGTTTTCATTTATAATTCCCGCAGCCATATCTTGCACGCAACCGACACCGTCCCTTGGAGCTCGTGCTAGATTTTTGCACGAAAGTGCGAAATCTCGGCACTAGATTTACCAATGAAACAACACGCACGATCTTCGTGCGCACTGAAATCGCCAATGAAACACGTAGTCCGCACCTAGTGCGCACCAGATTTCCCAATGAAAAACGCTATAAGAGTACGCTCTTGCGCATGGCCACGCCCACTGTCCAATCAAAATATACAAGCATACGTCATTATTAAACGCGAAATTCGAAAGTATGCTTTTAAGCATGCCTTTCAATCCGAAAAATTTTCCGACTCCTTTCGATCCGATTCATTTTTTATCTTATGATGATAATTTTCGCATCCTTTAACCGCACAACGTATTTTGAATGTGAAATCACTCGACTTTGCACTACAGAATTTATTCGGCATGTGCTGCACATATGTTGGCGACATGACGACGATATTACATTGACACGAACTGCTCCGGATATAGCCGAAGGCTGGCCGAATGTGACGTATGCTTGATACATGCGCAGTGATCTACCACTGATTGAGCATACCCTTATACTTCTACCATGATGATAACCATTTTTTAATATATATAACTAATGTTATTCAATAATATAAAGTACCTGTAACTGTGAAGAAAATTTGTTATAAGCTGCTTTCCTTATTAAAAAAAACCTTCACTACACATGAATAATGTGCTACTAAATATACTTATTACTATACATTTTTATTCGCGTGGATTTATATTTTCTTATCGTGTGGTTTTTATACGAGGTTTTTGTTTATAAATAAGTATACGTACAGCATATTTCGCACAAATCGGATTCTGCCTGACTTTTAAAAATTCGATTGATTGTCAGACTGAAACTATTGATTATCAGACGTTTTGAATTTTCCTAGACATATAATTCATATTTATGATCATCATGAAAACCACAATGTTTCTGATAACGCTTATATCTATAGGTTTTCAAGATACCTGTAGGAAAATGATACAAGTTCGGTTATAATCTACAATGAAAACTTACCTCGTTATCAGAAAAATTATAATATTACATCTAAAAAGTTTTTTATTTTTGGAATATTAGGTTTTTCATTTATAAATAAAAAATCGTCATCATCACTACTTGACGACGAGAGAAGATCGAGTATTACTTGCATATCGTTCTCATTTATAATTCCCGCCGCCATATCTTGCATGCAACCGACACCGTCCCTCGGAGCTCGTGCTAGATTTTTGCACGAAAGTGCGAAAACTCGGCACTAGATTTACCAATGAAACAGCGCGCACGATCTTCGTGCGCACTGAAATCCCCAATGAAACACGTAGTCTGTACCTAGTGCGCACTCAGTGCGCACCAGATTTCCCAATGAAAAACGCTATAACAGTCCAATTTAGCATAGCACTAAAGTAGTTCTGCACTTGCACCATGTCAGGGCAGCATTAAAACGGAGTGCATGTGTGCCGAATTCGCCATTAGTGCGCACCGAGTGCGGTTAAATGAACAGGTGACACTAACCAAGTGCGCATTGGCACTGCCAATCGAACACGCTCTTGATACTGAGTGCAGCCAGTGCACCCCAATTGAAAACGATATTAGTATGTTCGTCGCGTTTTATTTTATGTAAGTAGGAATAAAATACGATTGCGCCATTGGTTGCGCCATATTCTTACAACGTCGTCTTCAACCAATCCCATAGCGATTTCAATTCGCACATTTCTTATTTCCCAGTGAGAAATGACAATGGAATCGACATTGATTCGATGATTTCGACATCGAATCGACATCGATTCCATTGTCATTTCTTAAGGCCATCACACGTACATACAAAAATTTTAGTCCTAATCGTAAAATCGTAAGCAAATCGGCTAATCACAGTCGAGCGTATAAAAATGCGAGATCTTATGGCGAATTCGATTGGAAGCACTAGTGCGCACTGGTACATATTAAACTCATTGTACACTGATTTAATGTGAGTATAAAAATATAATGCAAATATTTCGAATTATGAAATACATATTTTACCTAATAGTACAATAAAATGTATTGGGTATTTCAAGATTTAATCAATTTCTATGTTTATTTATAAATATATCTTTACGTTATTTTGTGTACGACGGCTTTAATGTACGTCAGTGCGCACTGAGTTCATCCAATCGAATTCGCTATTAATTTTTATTGTGATTGGTCGATTTGCTTGCGACCTTACGATTCCGACTAAAATTTTTGTACGTGTGATGGCCTTTACTGGGTTGAGGATCTTTAATCGCATCCAGTGCGCAGTAGGCATAGCACTGTAGCGGTAGTGGTAGCGACGGTAGCGACGGCCAGATTACACAATTTTCATAAAAAAAGAGGGGGTAATGGTGGTAGCAACAAAAACCCTTTAGGGCATATAGTTTTATTTTCTACGGATTGGTAATATTTACAAGTAGTAATCCGTTAGTTTGCGCCGATCATGGTCGATCGAGTGTAAAAGTAGTGTAATTACATGATAATTCGTGAACTGCATAAGCAAATCAACTAATCAGACTCTTTCCTTTCCTTCCATTCCATGGAAAAAAAGAATTTCGATTGGTCGATTCCCTTATGCATTATGCGTTATGCAAGAGTCTGTGCTGCGGCCTTAAATATTACCAATCCGTAGAAAATAAAACCTTGGTGCCTCAAGGGTTTTTGTTGCTACCAATATTACCCCCTCTTTTTTTATGAAAATTGTGTAATCGACGGCCATCGACGACGGTCATGCCGCATTTACATTTTGGTAGCCGTCGCGAGGCGTGAACGAAAGGCTCGACCAAACATACGTGATTGGTAACTTATGCGCCAGCTCTTTTTCGCTCGCTGCTTCATATCCGCCGCTCCTTCTTAACGGTACGTTCACGAATCGCGTCAGGACTCGAATGTCAGTTCGATAAATTTGGGTGAGTTTCAAATTTCCGTTACGTTATGTAAAATAGACGATCTTTTTTGTTCCGAAAA